TGAAGGCTACATAACAAGCAACAATGCCAGATAGGAGATACCTTCTTTTGAGTTGTTGGCCATGGTAGCCAAAGGGACTCGCAGACAATAACCCAGCATAGAGCTGGGAAAATGAACAGCAGACCCCAATCTTACCTAAAGAATGTTGGCAACTGCTTGCTGCTAGAACTCTGGATAGGCTGACTAGATTCAGTGGATGGACGAGCACTGGGTCCATCCATGGCTGGGGGCACTGATAACACAGTGGATAGTAACCTGGATGACAGAGTATATGGGTTCCAATGGGGGGGAGGCTATGGGAGGGTGCCATTTCAGAGGCCGTTACAAAGATGAATAAGATTGTTTGGGATGTTCTCTATGAAATACATATACAAAAAAAATTTGACACTTATTTATTTATTGTGTGTATAGCTCCTGCCTCCAGATTCCTGCCCTGAATTCCTACCTTGGGGTCCCTGATGAACTGTGACCTGGGAGATGTAAGATAAGTGGGCCCTTTCCTCCTCAAGTTGGTAGTGGTCGGGGTGTTTTGTCATAGCAATGAAGAAACAAACTAGGACATTTATTTATTTATTATTTATTTATTGGTCTTTTTGAGACAGGGTTGCCCTGTAGCCCTAGCTGGCCTGGAACTTGCTATGAGGATCAGGCTGTCCTTGAACTCATAGAGATCTGCCTGCCTCTGCCTTCCAAGTGCTGGGATTAAAGGCGTGTGCAACTATGCCCAGCTATTTTTTTTACACTTTTAAATTTATTTTTATTTTATGAATATGGGTGTTTTGCCCATAGCACTCCTATGGTGAGATGAAGGTGTAGACAGGAGAATTGTCTTGAAGCCTGAGGGCCAGCAAACCTGAGGTACACAAAGTAGATAAAGAGAGACCTGACCTCAAGATGGCAGCAGGAGAGAACCCGAGGCAGGCGAGTCGCCATGAGTTCAAGGCTAACTTGGTCTACATAGTGAGTTTCAGGCCATGCAGGTCTACATAATAAGACCTTGTCTCAAAAACACCCTCAAACCAACAACAAAAAAAGTTGTAGGGCTGGAGAGATGGCTCAGTGATTAGGAGCACTGGCTGCTCTTGCAAGGGCATGGGTTCAGTTCCCAGTACCCACGAGGTGGCTAACAATCATCCATAACTCTGGTTCTGGCGCCCTCTGACCTGGTGCACTTACATACACGCAATAAAAAGAATAGATGACTCAGTGAGCAGTTTTTCTTCTTTCTTTCTTTCTTTCTTTCTTTCTTTCTTTCTTTCTTTCTTCTTTCTTTCTCTTGTTTGAAGCGGGTGTTCCCTGTAGCCCTAGATGTCCTGGAACTCACTATGTAGACCAGGCTGGTCTTGAACTCACAGAGATCCACCTGCCTCTGCCTCCCGAGTGCTGGGATTAAAGGTGTGCGCCACCACGCCTGGCAAGTAATTCTTTTTTAAAAAAATATTTTATTTATTACTGCCATTTTATGTGTGTGCGTGTGTTGCCTGCACGTAGGTAAGTGTACTGTGTTGTGCAATGCCTGCAGAGAACAGAAGAGGCTGTTGGATCCCTTGGAACTAGAGTTACAGACAGTTGTTAGCTGCCATGTGGGTGCTGGGAATTGAACCCGGGTCTTCTACAAGAACAGCCAGTGTTCCTAATCGCTGAGCCATCACTCCAGTCCCTCAGTGAGTAATTCTTTTGCCATGCAAGTGTGAGGACTGGAGTTCAAATCCCCAGCAAGCACATAAATGGGTAGGTGTGGCACCCTGCCTGTAATCCCAGCCCTGGGGAGGTAGAGACAGGGACTCTCCAGAACGAGCTGGCTAGATAGACTAGCAGAATTGGCAAAGTTTAGGTTCAAGTGAGAGATTATGCCTCAATGTATAAGGTGGAGAGCGATGGAGGAGGACACCTAACATCAACCTCTGGCCCCCATACACGTGTGCACACACCTGCATGAGGTGTATACCCACACACACACAGAAACACATGCCCATACCAGCCCCCCCCCCACGCACAGGCACAGGCACACACATTGATGGAGAAGCCTGGGGATGTAGCTTAGTTAGTAGCTTCACTACTTTACATGACTCCTGGGTTCCAACCCGAACACCACAAAAAAACAGATGTGGTGGTATCCAACATTATCCCAGCACTTAGGAGGTGGAGGCAGGAGGATCTTAAGTTTGAGATAGCTTGGGCCACATGAGACCCTGTCAACAAACCACCAAATTGCTGGGCACACCTAGAGTATGAAGAAAGGGGAACACAAGTTCAAAGCCAGCTTAGGCTATCTGGCAAAGATGCAGATCTTTGAGAGCAACAGGACCTTTCTCAGTCCAGATGTGCATGACCCAGGGACTTACAGTGCTGGCTCCTCACCAGTTACTAGAAGTCTATCTGACATAGGGGCTCTCAAGCTTGTCTCACATCTATGATAAAGATGTAGGGACATGGGGACACACACACATACACTCATACATACACACAGGAGTAGGGAAAGTGAAAGTCAGCTTTATTAAGGAGAATTATGGAAAAGTGAGAGAAACTCTTGAGAGTAGAGGTTCCAAAGAGGAAAAAGCACTGAGCCATTTGTGCAGGGGCTTTTTAGGACTCATGGAAGAAACTGGACAAAGACTGAGGTAATTTCTATTGAAAATGGTGAATTTTCTGGGCTTTTTGCAGGCCAAGTCAGTTAGGGAATGATACACTCTGTGCTTGTTCTGGCCTAGCCAGGGAGATGATCATGCATTGTTCTGGAACTGTTCACCCAGTTAGGGGAGATGAAGTCCCTCTTGTCTATCTCTGGCTTCTGCTTTGACAGCTGTTGACTTCGGCCCATCACTGGTTAACAACCCTGGCCAACATTGCTACTCTCCAAATTTGTAGGTGTTGCTGGTTTCACACCTTGGCATGGTCTGCTATGCATGAATTAGTCTATGTTCTCTCCATTCTCACATTTACATTAGCAGCTTGTAGCTTTACCATGGTGGGGACTTTCTTGGCTACGTCAAATCCACCTCCTTGTCTACAGGGCACTCTGGGATAGGTGGAGGCTTTTTAGAAGTCATTTTTACCCATAATTAAATATACTATAATTAGCTGCATTAGAAGCAAGACTATGTAAAAAGAGCAACAGTGTCTTGTGTTTCTCTGAGGATCTCCATGGGAGTGGTAACTTGCTAGTCATTCGATACTGGCTTTGTTCCCAGAGCCTTGTCTGTCCTCCTATCTCAACTCGGCTATGTCATACCCACCTGCAAGTCCCATTAGTTCTTATTCCTTGTGTTCCTGACCTTCATTTAATTTATGTTTTTGGCCTTTTTGAGACAGGGTCTCCCTATAGCCCAAGCTGGCCTTGAACTCACAGAGATCCACCTGCCTTTGCCTTTGCTGGGATTAAAGGCATGTGTCACCATGCCTGGCTTAATTTTATTTTATTTTTATTACTTGTTTTCATTGTGAAAAGTCTTTATTTTAGGAAAAAAATTAGTTATCAAAAAAAATTCAACAAGTGTTGCCTAGCAAAATACACCCAAAAGGAACTCACAGACAAAGTAAACTTTAAGTCAGGGCCTCACCAGTTCCTACAGTATTAGTGTTGTGTCTCAATTCTCAAAGCTAACTTTAAAAAGCTTAAACTTAACCTGAGATTGTAAACGAAAGTTTAACCTAGAATGAACCTGAGGAATCTTTAAATCAGGGATCTAGTACCTTTGAATTTTCTAAAAAAGTATATCTCCCCTGAGCTGGGCATGGTGGCGCATGCCTTTAGTCCCAGCAGAGGTAGACGAATCTCTGTGAGTTTGAGGCCAGCCTGGTCTACCTAGCGAGTTCAGGCCAGCAAGACCGTCTCAAAAAGCCAAAAAAAAAAAAAATACATCTCCCCAATGTTGTTCACTGTGGTATGCTGTAAAAGATCCACACTTAGCATACTTAAACTACTTTAACTTAGAGAACATCACTCAAAGTATGCTAAAATGTTAATTGAGAAGAGCAGGAGAAAATAGTTTGTTTATTCAATATTACATGCTAGAAGAAAAGTTTGCATGAGAAACATTGAAGAGGTAATTTTTTAATCCAGATTTCACAAGCTCATGGTACAAAGTGGGTCCCCAGCTTCCTCTGGAGTTACAAAATTGCTCTTCACTGCTTATTGACTGCCTGTCAGTTTTTTTATTGAAATAACTCGAATGTTCCTCCAATACTAATCCATCCATGTTGTCCTGATCTCTGTACCTGGCCCCCTAACAACCACTCAATGACTGTCTTTCCAGGCCACTATAGGTGGCCTGGGCTGCTGATACACCCATGCCCTGTATCACCTGACTGCTATAAGCCCCATTGCTGAATTCAGGAGGAGTTCTATTACCTATGTTGCATGTTGGCCCTATCCTTCCACATAACTGCCACAGCTTCTTCATGATGGGAAACTCAACATCAGCTTTGCCTGTCACTCTTCCATCATGGTCAGTCTCAATACGAACCTTCATGGGGTTGAGTGGAGAGAAGTTGTAAATGTTGATCTCTGTTGCTTTGTAGGGCAGCTCCCTCATGTGGACACAGTGGCTGGTGCTCTGTACTGTGAACTCCCTGTCTCCAGATCTGTGGTCATACATTCCTGAGGTCTTGCCCAAAAATGCCAGTGGTGAAGCTGTAGCCATCACTGAGGCCACTGTATTTTTCGTAGCCCCCATAGTCTGCACTATAGGCACTAGACTTCACCCTATCCAGGCCTGCCTACTTCACAATGCCAGTGTACCTCCTGGCTGTGCCAGGCTGGTCATAGGGCCCAGACCTCTGCACAGACATGAACTTCAGAAGTTACTTCCTTCTGACTCTTGAACACTTCAATATACCTGTACCCCATTCTCTCCTTGTGCTTCCCTACAGCTTTCTCAGCTAACTCCTGTGAGGCAAATTGCACAAACACCTCCCCTGTAATCTTGCCCTCTGGGTTCATAGGTACAATTTTGCAAAGGTTCCAATCTTAAAAAGAACAGAATGATTTCTTACTTTGTGTATCCAAATGGGAGTCCTTGAAGTCCCACAAAGTCATCATTGGCTATGTCAGTACTGTTTGGACCACTGTGCTTCAATACCCAAGCCAGGGCTGGAGAGATGGCTCAGCGGTTAAGAACACTAGCTATTCTTGCAGAAGACCCAGGTTTGAATCCCAGCACCCACATGGAAGCTAACAACTGTCTGTAACTCCAGCCCCAGGGGATCTGACAGCCTCTTCTGACCTCTGTGGGCATTGAATGACACGGGTGCACTTACCTACATGCAGGCAATACACGCATACACATAAAAAAATAAAATAAAATAAAATCAATACCCAATCCATCTCAGTTCTGTGTGACTTGAACACCTCAATATACCAGTTCCCATGATTTCCCTATCTTTTTCCAGAGCCAACTTTATATCATCAAGTTCAACTCAAGTTCAATGGAAGACTTACCACTCTGCCTGCCTTCTCTAGTGTAAATGAAATGAACACCTGCCATACCATCATGAATTGTACAGTCAGAGGAAGTTTTGTACGTCCTCAATTGAGCAGGACCATGGTAGGCCATGGAGTTTGACCACATAACCTTCACCTCTCTCAGGGCGTAGCATCATGGAAACTTGATGGGACTGATGTCACACAAGCTTGGGAAATTTTTTGTGGCACTTGAGGAGGTCAGGGGTGACTTCTATTTTCAATAAGCAAGCATGACACTTAAAATTACAGAGGCCTCTAAGGGAAAGTCCAGGGGCATCTTCTTTTTGTTCTTAACCTCAGAGCAGGAGGCTGATGGACCACTCTTCGGGGCTCCACAGCAGCTACGAGAAGGAAGAGCTACTTTTTATTTTTAATGTGTGTAAGTATATTGCCTGCATAGATGTACGTGCACTTGTGTTGTGCAATGCCTGCAGAGGTCAGAAGAGGGGGTCAGATCCTCTGGAACTGGAGTTACATACAGATGTTGGCTGCCATGTGGGTGCTGGGAACTGAACCCAGGTCCTTTGCAAGAACAGCCAGTGCTCTTAACTGCTGAGTCATTTCTCCAACCCTTCCCAATCTTCATTTTAATTTTAATGTCTATTCACACAGCATCAGCAAGACCTTGTCTCAAAGCAAACAAAAAACCCAAAACCATCACTATAGAAGCAGAGATACATTGTCATGTTGATTTTGGTTAGACATAGGACTCAATTATTCAAGCCTTATGTTTTTTTCTGGCAATTCAATTCCTGTAAGACTCCAAAAGTATTTATTTTTATTTTATGTGAGTATATGAGCATTTTGCCTGCATGTATGTGAAGGCACCATGTGTGGGAAAACCTGTAGAGGCCAGAAGAGGGCGTCATATCCTTTGAAACTGGAGTTAGACAGTTGCTAGCTGCCATGTAGGTACTGGGAACTAAACCTGGGTCCTCTACAAGAGCAGTTAGTGCTCTTAGTTGCTGAACCATGTCTCCAGCCCTCCCATAGGATTTTTTTTTTTTTTTGTAGTGTTGGCAACAGAAGTTCAGCCCTAACCCTGCTTCATACTGGCTTGTTCTGATAGTCTTTTCTGTGTTGATGCCAGTAGTCTAGTTTTACCTGAGTCCAGGTTCCTAAAAGATTAAGAGAACTCCTCAGGCTGCTGTGGGAAACACCACAGAGCTATGTCTCCATCCCTCCTACCCACCATGAACAAAAGACATTTTACTTATTAAATGCCAAAAGGTAAAAACTAACAATTGGACTTTTTTTTTTTTTTTTTTTTTTTTTGGTCTTTTTGATACAGGGTCTCCCTGTAGCCCCAGCTGTCCTAGAACTCACTATGTAGACCAGGCTGGCCTTGAACTCACAGAGATCCACCTGCCTCTGCCTCCCAAGTGCTGGGATTAAAGGCATTCACCACCATGCCCAGCCCAACAATTGGAATTTTATGTGAATTTTTATTCTATTCATTTTAACGGAATGTATCTCTGGTTACCTAGATGTTCCTCTGATAAGCCATGATAGGACTCAAAGGGGAAAAATCCCTGGGCCACAGCTGTCCTGTACATGTGGAAAAATAGTTCAGTTGCTTGTATATGAAAATTCTTTAAAGACCATAGGGAGCCTAGAAAAAATTGATAAGCCTTGGAAGCAAGAGGGAAATCCAGAGAGGGGGCATGGCCACTTTGCATAATAAAAGATTTGTCTGAAACAAAGGCAGCCTCAGGGGAGGCTGAAAAGGCTAAGGAATTACAGACAGATTCAGTCTCAGACTCAGAGCTTGAGAGAGAGGAAAAATGGGAGATTTTTAACTTGCATAAGGTTAGGGGACCAGGAGTCAAAGGACCCAAGGAAAAAGATAGCAATAAGAAATGACCTAGAGAAGCTGGAGAGATGGCTCAGTGATTAAGAGCTCTTGTAAAGGACCCAGGTTTGATTCCCAGCATCCATATGGCAGCTACTAACCATCCTCAACTCTAGTTTTAGGGGAATCTGACACCCTCTTCTGACCTCCTCGGCATTGCATGACACAGGTGCACTCACATACATGCAGGCAATACAATCATATGCATGAAATTAAAATAATAATAATAACAAAAAGAAATGACCTAGAAATAAAAGTAGCTAAAGCTGTCCTTCAGATTCAACCTTTAAAACAAAGAGAAAAGAGTTAACAGTACTGTAGCTAGGAGAAAACACTCCACACTAGAACTGTTGAAACTAGGAAAGACTTACAAGCAAGCAATCAAAGAGCCCCCTCACCACGTGGCTCATGAGGTTATGGGACATGGGAGCAAATAATGTCAGTTTAAGTCTTTCAGAAGCTTCACAGCTGAGTTATATAACCACCCATCTGTCCTTGCCACGTAGGCTGTTTAACCTAGGCCAATACAGGAGGGAGCGGTCCCTAATGAAATGGGTTGTACAGGCATTAAAGATATATGGTCATCACCAATGGAAACTTCCATGATTAACAGAGGCTGGAGGACTATAAAGGAGGGACAGGCATTACTGAGAGAACTAGGTATGAGAAAAGCAATATATAATACCCAGTTTCCTCGGCCACATAGGGCTATGTTTACCAGAGATATAAAGGAAAGCTTAATTCAACTGGGACCTTGAGAATGGTATAGAGCTTTAATGGTTTTACTAAGTCCTTTAATGGGACAGGATGTTTGTAAAGTGAGGGCAGCTTTAGCAGACTAAAGTGACTCAAACCAGCCTGTAAAATGTGTCTTTAGAATAACAGAGCAACCTACAAGAGATATAAAAAGGATCAGACTGAAGAAACAGTCCATTTGGATTACTCAAAGACAAATGTGGCAAGATTTATGTTGAGCCCAAGTTCCTAAAGAAAAAATTAATAGAAAACCAAATTCGGAGGCTGGGTGTGGTGGTGCATGCCTTTAATCCTAGCACTCCAGAGGCAGAGGCAGGCAGATCTCTGTGAGTTCAAGGCCAGCTTGATCCACATAGTGTGTTCCAGGACAGCTGGGGCTACAGGGAGACCCTGTCTCAAAAAAGACCAAAAAAAAAAAAAAAATTCAGTACTGAGTTTCTAGAAGGCTTTAAAACCTGAAGAATGGCTTACAAAGGCATTCAGAGGATAAAAACTGTCCCAGAGGTTGTTAAGGATCCCCAAAGATTAAATAAGGTAATTTCTCTCCTGAGAAAGGCTAGCTATGCTAGGGATAGAGGCAGTTTTTCTCACCAGGGCCTATCCCAGCAGCCAGGTATGGTCAACGAAGAGGTGACAGACAATGGGTACAGGCAGGAGGCAGACACAGGGCCTGCCTGACTCAGGGAACCAACAGGTGCAGTGGGGACAGGAGAGACCCTCTGCCTCCTTAGCCAGGTGCAGGGTCAGGCAACTGGAGCCAGCACCTGTAAATGTATCAAGGACAAGAAGATACAAAGAGACTCCTTGTAAAATCCCCAAGATGCAGAATGACTCCAAAGGGATAACTAAAGGTAACTAAATTAATGCCTCTTATCCATGCTATGGTACCTAACAGAGATCGATAGAGAAAGCAATTAATAAAAATGGATAAAACCTTTCCATGCTGTGTTAGACCTTGTCTATTATTGATTTAATATATGATATTAACCTTTGAGTGTTTACAGATGTGAAACCCATTTGAAAGGTACCTGAAGAAACAAAGGCCAGCTACAGCTGTAAGATTCTTGGGCGTTTTATGCTTGGGCAAAATAAAAACAGAGGCTCCCAAAACTATACAACTGTTAAGAAAAACTACAGTACCAGGGGTGGGTTGCTCCCCTATGAGCTATTGGTCAGAGAGACATCCTAGAGGTCCTCAAATTAACCAAGGCTGTTGCCACTAATGTTGGTTGCACACTAGAAATGTCGGTAAAGCCATGCTGCTGAAGACACGGCACGATTGTGAGTGCAGGAGAAGAAGAGACCAAGTCAAGACTAAGCTAAAAACTCCATGCCAGGTTGGAGAGATTGCTCAGTGGTTAAGAGCACTGACTGCTCTTGCAGAGGACTCAGGTTTGATTCCCAGGACCCACATGGAGGCTATGAACCATCCTTAACTCCAGTTCCAGGGGAATCCAAAGCCCTCTTCTGACCTCTGTGGCATTGCACGACGTGGGTGCACTCACATACATGCAGGCAATACACTCATACACATAAAATAAAAATTTAAAAAAACCACAAAAAACTCCATGCCACTGGATGGGTGACTTTCATAGTGCCAGAAGGTGTTATGCAGATGGTTGGGGAAAAAGGATCCCCTATGATTCTGCTCAACAATGGTCCCTGTGTGCAGCACACTGTGGACATGCCAAGCAATGCCGGCTAGTGCAATAATGGCTTGACTAACATATGTACAGCTGACAAATTTCTAATTGGATAAGGCCAGCTCCTCAGGGTGGAACACACATCTGTTGCTGTAAACCAGGCCAACGCCCTGTGTTAGGGAAGGCTACAGGCCCCAGAGGGGAAGCCGTTGCAAGTATACTGTTTAATGAATATGGTACACCTACTGGGATATCTTCTAGGCCTTTGTACTTACATTCATCATTCATGTTTGTTTAGATGTGTCTACTTCCTTCCATTTGTCTTTCAAGTAGGGGAAACACCACTGAGATAGATCAGTGGCCACATCTTGAAGACAAATGATGGGGAGGTGCAAGAGGTCAATATCTCACCATGATAAAAGAGCGATCACCCTGCATCTGTCACCCCCTCTAAGGCTCAGGGAAATTCTCGGGGAAGAGGTGGCAGAAAGTAAGAGCCAGAGGAAGGGGTGGAGTGTGACCTGGATGTTCCTCTGATAAACCATGGTCCCACCTCCTTCTCATGCTCTGTGGAAGGTGTCAAGCCCATTAAGTGGTGGAGCCGCTGCCATATTGGACATGGGCGAATGCCAAGAGAGAGAGACCAGGGAATGGGAGGTGGATGGAGTACGCATTTCAAATATGGAAAAGGAAAAGCCTATAAGAACTGTGTTTTTGTAAGTCACCCCCTCTCAAATGTCATACAAACTATGCAAAAATCTAAATAGACTGTCTTTTGTCGGTTCATCAGTCTGCATCAGGACCAGGAGACCCTAGGTGGAGGTGGGTCTCCCAGTGGGATAAGGAAAATTTATTGAAACACTCTAGCATTCTGTTGTATTTAGTTGGTCTGGAGAATACTTACATCTTCAGGAAACCCTAAACATTGTGAACCTCTGTTCTCAAGATTCAACTAAAATTTTATTTATTTATTTATTTATTTATTTATTTATTTATTTATTTTTTTAATGTGTATGAGTGTTTTGCCTGCATGTATGTAAGTGCTCCTGAGTCATGCAATGCTCATGGAGGCCAGATGAGGGCCTTGTATTCCCTGGAACTGGAGTTACAAACTGTTGTTAGCCACCATGTGGCTGCTGGGAACCAAAGCCAGAGCAGTCAGTGTTCTTAACCAATGAGCCAAAGCTCCAGCCCTCAACTCAAATTCTTCAGCATTCTAAGCGTTTCAGTGTGGAATCCATACTTTGGTCAGCCCAAGCACAAACTTATGGCCCTCACAAGTAATTTCATAACTTGCAATTCATCTTCACTATGTCAGACCACAACTACTCTCTCTTTCCTTTCTTCCCGTTCCTTTCTTATGTAAACCATGCTGCCTCCCAAGTGGCATTAAAGGCTGTACCACCACACCTGGTTTCCTTTACTTTCTTTTTTTTGGTCTTTTTTGACCCAGGGTTTCGCTGTAGCCTCAGATGGCCTGGAACTCATTATGTAGACCAGGCTGGCCTGGAACTCACAAAGATCTGCCAACCGCTGCCTCCCAAGTGCTGGGATTAAAGGCGCTCCACCATGCCCAGCCATCAGGTGACTGCGAATCCAACTCAGATCATCAGGTTTGTGGGCAGACTCTTTCACCTGTGTCGTCATCTCGCAGTCCCTAGCCTCAGTTTCTTTTTTCCCTTCTTTCCTTCCTCCCTCTCTCTGCCCCCCACCCCTTCTCTCTACAGGATGTCTGCCTCCCGAGTGCTGGGATTAAAAGTGTACGCCACCACGCTGAGCCAAGCCTCCTGAAATGCCTCACCATCGCTGAGCGTTTTTTTTCCAACTTTTTCTTGTTACATAACTCTATTACAGGTAGTTGCTCAAGTGCCTACCTTTTTGCCAAGATCAATCCTATACCCACGGCCACTGAGAATACCAGAAGGGAGGAACCCGCAGCGTTACTGTAGTTTGTTATCTCCAAGAGAAACATAGAAATTCTGCAGATGACTTTTGGACCGAATAATTTCCTTTTTTAGAAATAGGTAACTGAAACGTGAAGTGGGTAAAAGTCGCAAGAAGAGTGTTCGCTGCCTACCGGCTGGGGCGTCAAAGAATCACACCAAACTTGGAGAAAATCGGTTTAATTCTCTGACTCAAAAGTATTGTCCTCAACGCTACTAACTTGCCCACAATAAAGATGGATACCTCTAGCGGCGACCTAATTTTAAAAGAAGACATAACGGCCATTTTTCTTAAGGGCAAAGTAGCTGGCCAGAAATTCTCCTGCTACCTTGTTTGTGAAACTCCAGACACCTTACATTACAGAGTCCAATCGGAATTAAGGATTTTCAACCGGAACCGTCCTACCCTACGGCCGGAAAAGGCTATGCGTAAGGGCGTTGGGGGCGGAAGTGACGGGAAGGTGGCGGTGGGTAGTTGGCGGGCGGTTGAGTAGAGTCGGTCGCCATGTCCGCGGGGAGCGCGACACATCCTGCAGCTGGCGGGTAAAAGCTTGGCGGGCGAGGGCTTCGAAGCGAGCACTGGGGCCAGGGATAGGAGGAGGGACCACGGGAAGCTGCGTAGGCGTGGAGCGGCTCCCAAGTAGGAAGTGTGCGTGCAGAAAGGCCGCAAGTGTTAGAATGTTGAGCAGGCCTCGGGCTCCTGGAAAAAGACCGGCAGAGATGCGAGGCAGAGGGGAGTCCCTGAAGTTATAGAAGGGCGAGCCAGGGAGAGGTCAAAAACGAGAACATGCCGGCCGAGTTGAGTCTTTGGTTGGAAGTGACTGGAAAAGGAAGTAGGTTTGGGGAAAAGGTTGAAAGAAATAGCCATTCGGGGAGATGTAACTATAATTGTCTAAGGAGACGTGAATTTTAGATGTAATGGGTGATTCAGTGGTGAGTATGGGACGTAACAGAGAGAAAATGGAGTAATTAGGATGTCCTACGGGAAGAAAAATACAAAGGAAAGCTTTAGGGCCCAATACTTTTCTATTCCTAACTGTAGGCGCCGCAGCAAATGGGACCAACCCGCTCCAGCCCCACTTCTCTTCCTCGCGCCAGCGGCCCCAGGTGGGGAAATTGCCAGCGGCGGGCCAAGCCCTGGGGGCGCCTCAGCTGCTCCCTCGGGAGCCTTGGATGCCGCTGCTGCTGTGGCTGCCAAGATCAATGCTATGCTCATGGCCAAAGGGAAGCTGAAACCAACTCAGAATACTGCCGAGAAGGTATTCCAAGAGTCTCTGCTAACTGCAGTTTTAGTAGCAGTTTTGTCTCCGTGTAATTTCATAATCAGTCGGGTTAATTAAAGAGAAAAAAACGGGTAGAGTGAAGATCATGTAGTTTTGGAATACCCAGATGATACGTTGTCAAAATATTTTTGTAAAACGGGTTTTTTTTTTTTGTTTGGTGGGTTTTTTTGTTTTTTTTTTTTTCCCCCTGTCTTTTGTCTTTTTGAGACAGGGTCTCACTAGAGCCCCAGCTGTCCTGGAACTCACTATGTAGACAGACTAGGCTGGCTTGAACTCACAGAGATCTGCCTGTCTCCGCCTCCCAAGTGCTGGGATTAAAGGCGTGCGCCAGCAAGCCTGGCTTGTTAAATTTTTTATTTATTTTTATTTTATGTGTACAAGTGTATTGCTTGCTTGAATGTACGTGTACCTCTGATGTGCCATGCCTGAGGAGATCAGAAGATGGCATCTGATCCCTTGGAACTGGAGTTAAGAATTGTTGTTAATTGCCATGTGGGTGCTAGGATTGGAATCCAAGTCTTGACCACTGAGCCATCTCTCCAGCCCCTCTTGTGGTTTTTTTTTGTTTGTTTGTTTGTTTTAAGAAAGGGTCTTCCTGTAGCCCCAGCTGTCCTGGAACTCACTATGTAGACCAGGCTGGCCTTGAACTCACAGAGATCCTCTTGCCTCTGTCTCCAAGTGCTGGGACTACAGGCGTGCACCACCATGCCCAGCTCTATATTTTTATTTTATGTGTAAAAGTGTATTGCCTGCATGCAAGTGTACCCATGTCACGCAGTGCTCACAGTGGTCAGAAGAGGATGTCCGATCCCCTGGAACTGGAGTTTCAGACAGTTAACTGCAATGTGGGTGCTGGGAATCAAACTCTGTCTTCTGCAAGAACAGTCCGTGCTCTTAACTGCTGAGCTATCTCTCCAGCCCCAAGCTCACATAAATTTAAAAATTGTAAACGTTAAAAATCTGCAGAGTTGGTAAAAACTTCAGTGAATTAAAAATTTCAATATTGGGGCTAGAGAGATAGCTCAGCAGTTAAGAGCAGATTGCTCTTGCAGAGGACCTGGGTTCGGCTCCCAGCACCCAAATGGCGGCTACGAACCGTCCTTAACTCCAGTTCTTCTGACCTCTGAGGCATTGCAGGACAAGAGTGCACTCACATACATGCAGGCAATACACTCACACACATAAAACAAAATATTTTTTAAAAAATTCAATATCCAGCCGAGCCTGGTGGTGCACACCTTTAATCCCAACACTTGGGAGGCAGAGGCAGGCGGATCTCTGTGAGTTCAAGGCCAGCCTGGTCTACATAGTGAGTTCCAGGACAACTAGGGCTACAGGGAGACCCTGTCTCAAAAAGACCGAAAAAAAAAAAAAAAAAAAATTCAATATTAAGTTTGTTGTGTTTGTTATGCTGTCTTGCTTTATTATAGCCCAGTCTGATCTGTCTCACAGTCCTCTTGCCTGAGCGTCTAGAAGCTGGGATTATAGATGTGTGCCAGTACACTCAGCTTTAAGTGTATTTTTATGGTTTACAAAGATTGTATGAGTCATTTTGCATATGGAGATGGAGTGGGAGTTGACAAGGATGGACCGATGCCTAAATAGACTGATGTTAATGATGTTGTTATCCTCAAAATGATAGTTTAGTTCAGCAGAATGCAACATGGTACAAAAATTACTGAATTCAGAATCATAAGATCTGAGTTTGAAACACAGAATCTCTAGTACCTTGTTTTGTGGCTTTGACATGTGAACCTGTTTGTCCTTGGTAACATATACTTGAACTGCTTCCAGTGCAGTAGTTCCCAGATATGAGTGTTTGTTTATGGTGTTTTTGTTTTGTTGTTCTTTGAGACAGGACCTCATATCGTCCTGGCTGGCATGGAAACACACTGGGTAGATCAGGCTAGCCTTGAATTTACAGAGATCCATCTTCCTCTGCCTCTGCCTCCAGAATGCTGATATTAAAGGTGTGTGTCACCCTGCCCCCTCCCCCATTTTTTTGAGATTAGATCTCATGTTGTTCAAGTTGGCCTTGAACTTACTATGTAACTGAATGACCTTAAACTCACCCTCCTGCCTTCACCTCCCTAGTGCCACCATTAGAAGTATGGCAGTAAAAGGATGAAATTATTTGATGTGTTGTTACTGTAAGAGTTGCACAAATGGGACTGGAGACATGACTGAGCAGTTAAGAGCATTTGCTGCTCTTGTAGAAGACCTGGGTTTGGTTCCCACATGGTGGCTCACAACCAACTCCAGTTTCAGGGACTCACTTCTCTTCTGGCTTCTGAGGGCACCATGCACATTTGTGGTATGTGTACACAGGCATGAGTGCTTACTCATACACATAAAATAAAAATAAAAATATATCTTTATTTATTTATTTATTTTTATTAGAGGACTGGAGAGATAGTTCAGTGGTTAAGAGCACTTGCTGCTCTCCAAAGAACTTGAGTTCAGTTCTCATAACCCATATCACCCTGCTCACAGTTGCCTGTAACTCTAATGCTGGGGAATCCAACACCCTTTTCCGGCCTTTCCAAATGGCGTGCACACACACACAAATAAGGTGTGACCGGGTGTGGTGGTGCTCTCCTATAGTTCCAGCACTTGGGAGGCAGAGTGAGGTAGATCTCTGAGTTCAGGGCCAGCTGGGGCTACAGGGAAACCCTATTTCCAAAAAAAAAAAAAAAATTAGTTCGGTGTGGCGGTGCACATCTTTAATACCAGCAGAGGCAGGCAGATCCCTTTGAGTTAGAGGGCAAGGCAGCCTGGTATACATAGCAAGGTTTAGGCCAGCCAGGGCTACAGAGTGAGATCGTGTCTAAAAATAAAAATAAAACAAAAACAAAATCTTTAAAAGGAATTAGAGTTGCACAAATGTGGCTCTCTAGTGCATGATGAGGTTTGGGGTTAGCATGCCTTTCTACTCACTGCATGTATAGCCAGAAAGTTGACCTGTGAATCATCATAAAATAACCTTTAATTTACTTTTTGGTGATTATAGCTTCTAGTGCATACCATGAAAATGTATGGAGGGAGGGGGCTGGGATGTAGCTCAGTTGGTAGAGTACTTAACTTCCAAGGCCCTGGGTTCAAGTCCTAGCACCACATAAACTGGGTGTGGTGGTACATATACTGGCAGGTCTCAGCTACATAGCAAGTTTGAGGCCAGCCTGGGCTACATGAGATCCTGTCATCCAGAAACAAAAGCACATAAGAGCTGAGGCAGAGAATCCAGAATTCCAGGCCAGCCTCTGCTATATAACAGGACCTTGTCTCAACAAAAATCTTGGGGGCTGGAGAGATGGCTTAGCAGTTAAGAGATCTGGCTGCTCTTGCAGAGAACCCAGGTTCAATTTCTAGCACCCACATAGCAGATAATATCCATACCAGGGAATCCAACACCCATTTCTGACCTCCTCAGGGATTGCATGGCATGGGTACACTTATATACACACAGGCACTACACTCATACATGTAAAATAAAAATAAAATTACGAAAAATCTAAAATCTCAAAGGGTAAAGTTACAAAGAATTCTGATGGTGACTTTGTAAATTGGCTCCACTTGACATTAAAAAAAAAAGTGTGTGAGCCAGGTGTGGGTGCATGCTTTTAGTCCCAGCACTTGGGAGGCAGACACAGGCGGATGGAGCTCTGAGTTCAAGGCCAGCTGGGGCTACAGGGAGACCCTGTCTCAAAAGGACCAAAAAAAAAAAAATAATAATAGTGTGTGTGTGTGTGTGTGTGTGTGTGTATGATGATGTGTATGTATGAATCAGTGTGCCATAGTGTGCATATGGAGGTCAGAGGACAACTTTGTGGCGTTGGTTCTCTCCTTCCACCTTCATATGGTTTGAGGGATTGAATGTTAGTCCATGGCTTTGTGTGGCAAGCAACTTTACCCACTGGGTCATTATGCTGCCCTACTTGGTGTCATTTGAGTGACATTTTTTTTTTATATCATATGACAAATGACCAAATAACTTTTTCGTTGGTGGGTAAGGGAAAAATAGGGAAGTAGGAGGAACTTGATAGCTAAAAATCAGACAAGTAAAATACAAAAACCTTTTGATGATCTTTTGTTTGTTTGTTTTTAGCTTCAGGCCCCTGGAAAAGGTGTAACTAGCAATAAAAGCAAGGATGACCTGGTGGTGGCTGAAGTGGAAATTAATGACGTGCCTCTTACGTGTAGGAACTTGCTGACTCGAGGACAGACTCAAGACGAGGTGTGGAAGATGTGAGACTCTGGGGAGGTGGCAAGTGAATTCAGAAAAAGACTTCTGAACCCAAGTGTTTATGAGTGGGTTTGAATTAAATCATAGTTTTCAAAATCAGGATTGGGTTTAATTTAACCACAGAGGAAGGTCATGGAACAGATATAGATGAATTCCTTGGATAGGTTTGATAGAATCAAATTTTCAGATAATGACAATTTTTACATAGTAGCATGAATGAGAAATCAAACTTGCTTTCTGCCATTGAAATTACTAATACATAATTGTATGTACTTGTGGTGGTTTAATACTTGTATATCATCTTTTTAATAGAATGTTCCTTCTTTTAGATCAGCAGACTTAGTGGAGCTGCGGTGTCAACACGAGGAAGGTTCATGACAACAGAGGAGAAGGCTAAAGTGGGACCAGGGTGTGTATCCTGTGGTTTGGGAGCATGCTGTTGTGTGCCTCACGTGTGCTCCATATTTTTCCATTCTTAGGTAATATGTGTTAATACTGTTTGGTAGGGGCTTGAGGAAACTGTCTATGAATGTTGCATGGAAGAAATGTAGGCATCTCAAATAGGTACGGGCACTGCTCACATCTGTTTTTTCCAATGACTGTTAGAATTTTTCACTTTGTTTAGTTTTTTACTTGCCATGTAAACAGACTCACCTGCCTCCTAAGTGCTGGGACATGTGCTAACACAATTGGCCTACTGTTGGACTTTCATTTCTTTTTTTTTTCTTTTCTTTTTTAGGAATAAAAAGCATGACAGGAGATAATAATGGTTAATATTTAACTTAAACTTTTCCCGTCCTGGGGAAATGACTCAGTCCCTAAAGTGCTTGCCATGAAAGCATGAGGACCTGACTTTGGTCCCCAGACCTGAGGTGTAGCACCCTGTATAATTCCAGTGCTGGGTTGGCTGACAGAGAATGAGTTTCTTGGGGCTTGCTGACCAGACAGCCTACCTGAATTGGTAAGCTCCAGGTCCCCGTGAGAGATTGCCACATGAATGGCAATCCTGAGAAACAATACCTGAGGTTGTCCTATGACCTCAGGCATACCTGAGTACATATGAACGCAAACACTGTAGAAAGAGTCTTCCATAAAAGGGCTTACATTGTGTTATAAATCCTACCCCAAACCCCAACCCTTTAAAAAATTGTTTTTATTAGCCCTGGAATAGATTATAGGTATCTATTTAATCTCAGTTTAGGCTTTTCTTCTGTTATTTAATGTCTTAGATTCTCCATATACTTTCAGTTGTAAGACAGGATCTGTCTTCAACTTGCTGTGCAACTAAAGATGACCATGAACTTCTTATCTTCCTGCCTCCACCTCCCAAATGTTGGGATTATAGGAGTAGATTACCATATCACCATGCCTGAGTTGGTATGCGTACATGATAAGGTCTTACAGATACTAAGCATACATTATACCGTTGAGCCATATATCCAGCAGGAAACGCAAACAGCTTAAACATAATTAGGAGGCAGATAGAATTTGTTTTCCCTTAGTGTTTTTTGTTTTGTTTCGTTGAGACAGAGTCTTATTATATAGCCCTGGCTAGCCTCAAACTCAGCTATTCTCCTACCTCTGCATCCTGAGTACAGAGATTAAGGCATGCACCAAGCCTGGCCCTCCACTTAACTTTTAACCATAGGCTGGCACTTGAGGTAGAAGCAGGAGGATTACCATGAGTTAGAGGCAAGTCTAGGACAGGAAGAACCAACCTCAACAATCTGTAATTGTAAAACTTTTTTTGTCTTTTTGGAACAGGGTCTCCCTGTAGCCCCAGCTGGCCTAGAACTTGCTATGTAGACCAGGCTGGCCTTGAATTCACAAAGATCCACTTGCCTCTGCCTCTGCTGGGTCTAAAGGTGTGGGGGTTTTTGGGGGGGGGGCGGGGGGGGGGGTAAGGGTCTTGTAGCCCAGGCTGTCTTCAAAGAACTTGAACTTCAGTCTTCCTGCTTCCACCTCAGATTATAGATATGTGCCATCACATCCAGTTTATATGGTGTTAGAGATCCAAGCATGCTAGGCCAGTGTTTTATCAACTGAGCTGTATCTCAGCTTCTAAAATTGTTTTTTTTTTTCGGTCTTTTTGAGACAGGGTCTCCCTGTAGCCCTAGCTGTCCCGGAACTCACTATGTAGATCAGGCTGGCCTCAAACTCACAGAGATCCGCCTGCTTCTGCCTCTGCCACCACGCCGGGCCAAAATTGTTCTTTTGTTTTTTTTCTTAAATTATTTATTTAATAACCATATAATTAGAAGAAGCATTTCATTACAACAGCATTGACATATTCAATAACAATTTCCAGAGCTAAGATGCATCTCTTTCAAAATTGGCTGTAAATTTTTAGGTTTACAGTTGAATTGATACAGTTATACAATATTGTACTTAGTATAAACCCTTTAAGACAAAATTAAATGAGGTTTTAAGCTTTAAAAAAGATCTCCATTTCATTATTTAAATACAGTTTCATACAGAAAAATTCATTTTTAATACAATTGACATTACAATGCACATGTGTTTCTAATCTCTGTATATCTGATTATTACTAGTCACAGTCAGTTACTTTCTGAGCTCCTTGGCATCTGAGTATGGATATAAAGTCATCAGGTAGATTTCAGTGGTAATGTTTTTCACATCTACTAATTATTAAGGAGCAAATTTTTATGCTTTGAGAATTCTCTTTTTTCTTTTTTATTTATACACCCACTTCCCAGGTAGCACCCTCCCATAGCCTCCCTCCCCCCACTAGAGCCCTTAAACTCTGACATCCCTGCTACTGTCTGCTGTGTTGTTGCACCTCTAGGCATTCCCCACTACTTGTCCATCTGGTGAATCTAGTCAGCCTGTCTAGAGGTCTTTGTTTTAGGAAGATTAGCTGTTCCTCATCTAGCAGCAATCAGTTTTCAATATTCCTCTAGATAAGATTGGGGTCTGCTGTTCATTTTCCCCAGTTCTATGCTGGGTTACTATCTGGGAGTTCCTTTGGCTACCCTGGCCATCAACTCAAAAGAAGGTATCACTTGTCTGGCATTGTTGTTTGTTATGTAGCCTTTAGCTATACATATGGACTCTTATGAAATTATGTTGGCCCATTTAATCTTTGGTTATACTTTCCTTTTGGGTGTTTTAAGGCCATACAGGTGGTCCAGATAAAACCGATTTATTTTTACTCTCAAGGTCGTTTGGGGCTCTGTTCCTCAGGGGTCACATGGGCTTGGGAGGAGCCCCTGTTTCCTTTCTTTTACCAGTCCGCCTGTTTGAAGATAAGTCAAAGGTCCTGCTCGACCATGGTTGGCTTCTCTTGGAAGCATGGAGGAAATGATTCCTCTGTGTTGACCCTCGTTTTTATAGACTGGACACTGGTTCAAGTCCATCTGGTGGGGTCTCCTCAGCCTCCTTGATCAAGAGGACAGGTGACCCACCACCATTATAGG